TCGTGCTGATAACGTGTTATAAAATGAGAGGAAAAGAGAATAGAGAAAACTCAAAGAGAATAAAGAAAACTCAATAAACTTTTTGTGTTTATTATTGAAAACCAAAACCCTATATTTATAGGTAAGAATCAGTGATACAATGGTAATAATTTCTAGGGCTACAGGGATACGAATGTCTTTCACCAATAAATTTTAATGGACTTTCCATTTACAACATTTTTACTTTTCAAGTAATTCACCCTCTCCTTCTCCCTCATCTATCTCATCTACTTACCAATAAAAATAGACAATTATAACATTTTCTAAGTTGAAAATAAAATTAATCAAACACATTTAATTGACATTTTTAATGCAAATAACTTCTAGACAATTCAATTACTTAAAATTTATTTTATTTATATGTAAATTTTATACTCGTAATCAAACACACCCAAACTTGCTTAAATCATGGATACGCAGATTTATGCGATATTCTATAGTGGGTCCCGTTTTCTCGCCCTTTTAGATATTCACTTGCCAGTTTGTAGACCATGTCCCTTTGTTTATGAGACAGCACCCAGCTTTACGAGTCTATTTTAATTATCCAAACTTTCACTTTTTTCCTTCTCAAACGATTCCAAGAAAAGGAAAAGTAAATCATAACAAGTATCATTGATTTGTGATAACTATCTAACCTTGAATTGATCAAATTGCAACCTCACTAATTACAAGGAAACCAAGGCTTTCAATCTCATTGGAAAATATTTTTCCACCTTTCTTCTCTCTCTTCCGCTTGTAAATTTTGTTTACTTCAATTAGTTAACTGGTCACGTGCATTCTATGGATATGATGAAATAACTATTATACTCTTTTCTTCTTTTTTTATTTTTATTTTATTTTATTTTTTGAATCACCTAAATACCATTCAATCAATCTCTTATGAGAAGTACGTGGTGATATTCAAATTGATGTTGGATAAAGTAGCAAGTTCATATTCAAATGCTATAAAATTTGAAATTTTGGGACTTGTCAAAGAAAATTAGACAAATGATCAATTAACTCGCTTTAAAAATGATCAAGTTATTTATTTTCCCTTTTTATATTGAAATGACCATTTGAAACTTATCTATTTAATTATAAATAATTTGCTTGTAAATAATTATATTTTTAATGAAATGTTATTTAGCATTGCTAGTGTTACAACATCAGTTTACGTGTCATTACGCTTCACCTTTAATTAAAAGTGTCACATAATATATATTGATTGACGCTCTAACATCATTGATGCTAGATAATATTATTCATATTTTTATGCAGATTTTTTAAGCTTAGTCAAAGATACACTTAGAAGATATATTTCTAGTTCAAGTTGGGAACCATTATTGCACTTAGAAAGAAATAAGAATTTATTTTGAAAGACCTCATTTAAACACACATTATAAAAAGTGACCCTAGCCTTTTAAAATTGTTTTATTCAAAAATCTCGAAATACCGGTCTCACCATCTTCTCCTCCCTTGACCCCTTCAATGCATCGATTTTGACTGGAGACCATTTCTCCTTTTTTTTTTTTTTCCCTCTCGTTATTTACTTATTCATTATCATTTTAATTGAATATAGAGCATGGTTTTTGATCGATCTTTAACTTTTTACAAGTGAAATAAACGAAAAACATCCACTAGGAACCATACATGCTAAAAAAATGTAAGGGGACTTGTTTACACAAATTTAATAAGTTAGCAGTCTCCTTTATTTCATCGAGACATAATGACATGGGGCACACCTAATTTAATATGACAACAATGACACTACACAAATGTTCAATGATCACCAATTTGGGACCCTAGTGGTCTTATGCCTTATGGTAGTGCAAGTTACACTTGGTTAGTGGAGAATTTCTCAAGTTTATGGGACCAAAAATTAGCACATTCGCCGTCGGTTCAATAAAGGAGTAATTAATTACTAAAAATCTATAATCTCCCCCTTATAATTTGCTTAGTCAAGAACAATTATGAAGATTAGGGAAAAAAAATGATATCTACCGGAATAAAGCTATTGAATATTTATCAACAAGGGCGATGCACGACAGTTTATGTGGTAGTGAAATGAATGTCATATTGGCTAATTAATAAACATGCGTTCTTTTTTTGTTGAACAATATAACAATGACACCACCACTACTAATGAATATTAAATAGCATTATTTTGTTTATCCTTAAAAAAAAATAATTAAAAAGAAAAACCAAAACAACTTAAAACAACTGAAAAAATATTATACATGCAAAAAGTCACATTCTTTGTTAATTTTCATTGAATAATCACATATAGACTTCGGGTACGTTTGAGTCCCTTTAATTTTGAAAAATGTTTTATGGAATAGTAGATTGATGAAGAATGTGTAATTAAAAAATAATGGGAGGTTTTTTATTTACGTATAATATTATTTTAATAAAGTATA